TAAAATGTCAGAAGTGAAGATCGTATCGAGATAGATTTGTCAGTTGAAAAATTAGGCCGAGGAAATGTACATGGGTCCATTTCTTCTGAAGAACAAGGCATAAGAGAAAAGCCTAAGGATAGTGTAGCAGGAAAAGAATTAAGTACAAATAAAGCTTCTGAATCTAATCCAATCAAAAAATCTTAAGCTTTTGATAACCCTGGTACATGGCTCAAATTTAATTCAGATGATCTGCGCCAATGTATTGTAATTTCTTACAGTTTTGAAAAAATTAAGCAGATTTGTGAACACTTACCAAGAGACCTACAAGGAAGAAAGTTTTATAAACCTTTGTTGTTTACAAAAATGAAATATAAACGAACACAAGATCATTTTCCTAGAGAATGGTTGGCATGGAGTATAAAACATAAAAAACTTTATTGTCTTTTATGCCATATTTTTTGCAATCAAAATAATAACAATTTGAACAGTTTAGCCTGTGTAGGGTTTTCCCTTAAAAAATTACAATGGAAAAAATTGTATAATGTTTTGCCCAATCATGAAAATAGTGCTGAACATCAAAAACAATATTTAGGTTGCAAAGTCAATTATCAGTAAATAAGTCAGTAAATGGAAATGGAATAGACAAACGCTTACAACTCCAAATACAATGTGAAACCAATAAGTGGAGAGCATTTATGAAACGGATTATAGATGTTACATTATTTTTATCATCTAGAGGTTTAGCATTTCGAGGATATAATACAACGATTGGGGATGTTCATAATGGCAGTTTTTTAAGAATTTTAAAATTAATTGGAAAGTATGATGAAGTGAGGCAACAACATCTTGCCAAAGTTCAATAAAATCAGTTAGAATCAAAAAGTATGAAGGGACAATCACATTATTTGTCTTGGTATTCTCAAAATGAACTTTGTTCAGACAAAGTTCCTTAAAACTATTTTAGATCAAAGAAAAGATGCCATCTTCTATGGATTAATAGTAAACTCTGGATATTTGGCACATCGAACAAAATGTTTTAATTCTGAGGTATATATCTCAAAATAAAGAAACGAAGGAATTTGTTGTAAACGAGCGCTTCATAGAGTTTATAAACTTTAACGAAAAAACAGTAGAAGAAATAACAGAATAAATATTTGCCACACTAGAAAGACACAATATACCTCTCCAAGATTGTCGTTCACAAGGTTACAATAATGGTTCAATTATGTGTGGTAAAAGAAATGGTGTTAAGGCCCGCATCTTAGAAAAAAAGCAATGTGCCTAGAATTCAAGCCATTCGACTAATTGTCAAACATTATCCTGGCATACTCTCTGTGTTAGATGATATTCTTCCGGGAACTGTTTCAGAACTAACACCTTCAGCACAAAGTACAGCTAAAGGCTTAAAAAAATACTTCTCGTCTTATAAAGGTCTACTTATGACTATTTTTTGGCACAAAATACTTGCGACTATCGACAATAAAAAGGTTGTCATACAAAGCCAAGGGATATCACTTGATGTTGAAACAACTCTTATCCAAGATTTAGTAAAAGAGATTACTCACATACGTGACTCGTGGGAAAGTATTGTTCATGAGGCAAAAGTTTTTGCAGAAGTTGTTTGAATAAAAGCTCAATTTCCTAAAAAAGAATTTGTTCTTCTGAACCAGATCGACATTTCAAATCCTTTGTAGTTTACCCAGTGTTGGATTTTATAATTGAAGATTTGAGTTCACAATTTGAAGCAGCCAATGCAATATGTGATTTATTCTCACCCATTTTGAATTTACAGAAACTTGAGGATGGAGAGCTTAGTTTGAAAGCAGCCAAACTTGTAAATGCATATAAGAAAGATCTGTCAGATGATCTACTTAGTGAAATATTTCATCTCAAAAATATTTTCAAAACTGTTTTTGGCATTGAAAATTCTCCTCTTTGTCTACTAAATTCAATTTATAATAAACAACTTCAAGGGATTTTTGCTAACATTTCTCTGACAATTAAACTGCTTTGTACAATTCCAGTAACTGTATCATCTGCTGAAAGATCTTTCAGCGCTGTCAAATTCATTGAAAACACGGCTAAAAAGCACAACCTGTCAAGATCGTTTAACCATCTTGTCATTTTATATATTGAAAATAATTTAGCTAAGCGAGTTGATTTTAGTTATATCATTGAAAAGTTTGCTATGGAAAAAACTCGAAAATGTCAATTAATGTCAGATAATGTGATAATGCTTATATTTTTTAACATTACAAAACTATTTAATATATTTTCTTTCATATAATCCTTAAAACATTTCTTTGAAGTCATCTTATTATTTAAACAGTCTTTCACTTTTATAGATCTTAAGTTTTGGTTTTTAATCCTCGTGGAATTAACAAGCCAAGAGCAATAAAGATAGATATACTGTCAATATAATTTCTTATTTAAAACATTAAAAAAAATGATGTTATGATAAGTTTTAAAAATAATGTTTTGATAAATAAAAATTGACAGCCAAATAAGGAAACTACCCTGTTTGGTTAAATGTCAATCTAGGTCGTTTTTGCGGTTTTAATTTAAGTAGTTAATTAATGTTTTAAAAGGGAGCATAATGGTACCATTTCATGATAAAAGTGAAGTTAAGCACTTCAATTTTAAGGTAAATAAATCTTTAAAACCTTTCAGTCTCATTAATTTGAAAAATCAATTTTGAATTGATTATTTGAGTTTTAACTTAAAAACATTTTAAAATCAAATCTTTTTTAGAACAAAAATCTCTTAATAAATACAAAAATAATTTAGATTTTGAAAGTATAAGCGGTTTCTTAAATAACAAACTTGTTTTTTATGGTTTTCTCCCTTTTTTTATTTGCCCAAGAAATTTTTTTTTTCTTTTTTTTTTTGTATGCACAACCATCAAAGTGGAAGGTAAGGCTGGGGACTTGCTGAAGGCTCCAGCATGGGAGCCCCATTTCAGGATGTGGGGGCCATGATCTTGTTACAATAGAGTTTAGGACGTTTGTTAAATTTCTTAAAATCAAAACTCGCGTTTTGTATTTTTTAAAACATTTTTATTTGTGTTTTTATTTAAGTGTTTCTAGAAGTAAAATTATTTTTTATTACAATTTATTGTAATTAAAAGCAGGAAGTTTTCGAATTCGAAAAGTGACAGTTAACAATTTAATTATAATAAAAGTTATTATAATAACTTTTCTAGTTGAACAAACATTCTAAAAAGTTGTCTTTATAACTCTTAATTTATTAATTTCTTGTTTAAATACATATTTTATTTATTTTTAAAATAGTAACAACTGCATAAAAAAAAACTGCATATTATTTTTAGTATTATTATTAAAATATTAAATATAAATAAATATAAATAAAAAAATCTCTATTGTCTATTTTTATAAACAATTATGAATAATTAAAAAAAAAAGGAATAATTAAAAAAAAATAACACAAAATTATCAATGAGAATTTTTAAAGGCAAACTAAACAGTTGAATTTCAGCAATAAAATTGATTTCTTCATTTCTGATAGCTTCCTGCTGTAACTTGATTCTTCATTTCTGATAGCTTCCTGCTGTAACTTGATTCTTCATTTCTGATAGCTTCCTGCTGTAACTTGATTTCTTCATTTCTGATAGCTTCCTGCTGTAACTTGATTCTGCAATTTCTAAATTATCTTTACTCTCCACACTAAAGGATCACTAAAGATCTGAATTCTTATCGTGCTAGTTGCTTTGTTTAAGTTATCAACAGGTAGCAGGAAACAAATTGATAGTCTTTTATCTTATATCACATTTTGTTATATATATATATATATATATATATATATATATATATATATATATATATATATATATATATATATATATATATATATATATATATATATATATATATATATATATATATATATATATATATATATATATATATATATATTGTAGGAATTATGTTAATATTTCCAGTAAGAGTGCTCAATACAGCGTTTTATATAATTAGTAGAGCAAATAATATAGTGAAAACTAAATAATTATTAAGATATATTTCAATTACATAACTAAAAGTTTCACGCAATAGCGATCATCAGATGTAACAACAATAAAAAGTAACGACAAAAATTATATACAAAAAATGCTATGGAGTGTCCGCTTTGATGACATTAAAGTTTTTTATTAGAAATTTATTTTCATGGCGGCATTTTGACGCAAGCTCGGTTCTTTTGTTAAGCAAATTCAATGGTGACGTAATAATGTGGTATTTTTCTGTCAAGCATAAATTGCAAAATTTACCACCAGGTTTGAATGGCTCCGCTTGATCGAGGATATTCCATTTTAAAATAGGTTCTATACCTTTATTTTTGCATTCCCACACAAATTTCGAAAGTTCAGTGGAGTTGGCCTTACTTTCATAAACAAAGGAGTTTTTAAAACTCACCAAGAAGAAGAAGGATATTATTACGTTGGGCTTACTGAGAAAACTTTCAAAGACAGGTGGTACAAACATAAATTGCGTGAAACTTTTAGTTATGTAATTGAAATATATCTTAATAATTATTTAGTTTTCACTATAAATATATATATATATATATATATATATATATATATATATATATATATATATATATATATATATATATATATATATATATATATATATATATATATATATATATATATATATATATAATATAATATATATATATATATATATATATATATATATATATATATATATATATATATATATATATATATATATATATATATATATATAGTGAAAACTAAATAATTATTAAGATATATTTCAATTACATAACTAAAAGTTTCACGCAATTTATGTTTGTACCACCTGTCTTTGAAAGTTTGTTTTCCGGCTCCGATTTCACTATATATATATATATATATATATATAATATATATATATATATATATATATATATATATATATATATATATATATTATATATATGTAAGTATGTATGTATGTATGTATTAACCCTAACCCTAACCTTGATACCTGGCCTAACCAAACCCTCAGTTGATGTAGTAGCACTCCCTTGCAAGTCAGGCTATTTGATAATCAATTTATGTACTTTTTGTTCTCTATAAAAGTTTCTTATGGGTACATTTTTTTTACAAAAAAAATAATGCTCACGGGCAGAAAAAATTAATGGGTACACTAAAATGTCCCCGATAATGCTAATGTCCCTGTAAGTGTTTGTTTTTTTAAAATCTGTCCCCGTAAGTGAAAAGCTATACAAATATATATATATATATTATATTTATATATTGTTATTTTTTAGAGTAACTGTAAAATTTGATGATGGTACTGGTGAATTAAATATACCTATAGATGATATTATAACAACACTGCATTTTCAGAAGGGACAAAAAGTTTCAGTGAAGGCGCAAGATGGATATTACTATGATGGTGACATTTATGCATCAGATATGTAAGTTTTTTTGAAGCAAAACTTTTTTAAAATAGAATAATAAAAATTAATAAATATATAAAGAAAAAATTTATATAATTTTTAAATTGTCGCATACCAGTCCGAAATCGTTTGTTGCATTGGAGAGATTTTTTGATGGTAGCAACTAGGGCTGTACCGAATTTCGGCTCCGGCTCCTGCTCCGGCCGAAATCCGGCCATTTTTACAAATCCGGCCCAAATCCGGCTCCGGCAAAATGTTAGCAAATCCGGCATAATTTTGGCCGGATTTCTGGATGTTTATTACATCTTTCTTACCCGTGATAACATGTATACATAATACTTAATTTTTGAACTTCATGTTTGTTTTGGTATCTGTATTTACATTTTTTTACAATTTAATTAGCTAAGCCTAATTTCAAACAAGAACGCAACAAAAAGTTCTGAAGAGAAGTCCTAATCAACTAATTAGATGAGCGTTTCAAAGGCATTGAGGAGAAACCTTTTTAGATTGAAAAAAATAAAGAAAATCCAGCAAAACAATCCCGGCTGGATAATTCTTATACATTATCATCATTACAATGGCAATATATATAGATGAAATTATTCAGTCTACGCCCGATTGTGGCACAGCACATGAACAACAATTACCAACAGGCATTGACACTCAGCTAAGCCAATATCTGGAGGAATCAGAAATATATAGACACGCTAATTCACTACAGTGGCGGAGTGACAACATCCCGGGAAAGAAAGTTCTGTAGAATTTCTCTAAATTTTAGAAACATATGGCCTATAGAAACTCTATAAAATTTATATAAAATGTCTATTAATTTCTATAGAAATTGCTATAAAACTTTTAAACAACAAAAATGATGTTTAATAGAAAACAACCCGACGGGCATTTGTTTTTAAAAGTTACGTTTTGAATGTGTTTTAAATGTCTTTTAAACGTCTTTTAAACATTAATGTTTAAAAGACGTTTAAAAGACATATAAAATACATTTAGATCGTAACTTTTAAAAAGAGCCCATCGGGAACTGTCACTTGGCGATCTAAATAGTCAACATTGTTGACCATTTTCAACACCAAGTAGGGATATACAGGATTTTGGTTCCTGTAGTTTTGCTTCAAAATCCGGCTCCGGCTCCGATTCCGGCCGGATCTGTTAGTAAAAATCCGGCAAATCCGGCTCCGGCCGGATTTGGAAAAGTTAAATCCGGTACAGCCCTAGTAGCAACCTTGAACCGCATAAGCAAAGAAGATCTGATTTTAGTATAATAAAAGAGACTTTAACTCTATTATAAGTTAAAACTTTATTGTATCTTTCTCCTGACTTTTCAGCTATTTGTTTGGCTAGATGTTTGTGGTAAATCGTGTGATATACATTTAACACAGTTTAATTGAAAGTTAACATTTATTTTCACATGAAGCTTTACACACTCTTGTAATTTTTAAGGACTTGTTTTAAAGTATAATTTTTTATTTTTAAATTATTTTTTTTTAATATTTTTAAATAAAATTTTAAATAAAAATTTTTCATTTTTTATTTAAACTTTTAAAACATGTGGTTATTATTAACTAATTGTCAATAAGGTTATGTTCAATAAGGTTATAATAGATATGTTTTATAGTTAATTGAGTCATGCAGATGAATAAATATTAATAATTATTTTAAAAAAAAACTTACAATTACTTACACAATTATTTCTATTAAATTTACAATATTATTATTAAACTTACAATATTATTTCTATTAAATTTTGATAGATGTTAGTTTAATGTTTGATTAAAATTTAGTTAGTTTAAAATTTGATAAATTTTAGTTTAAATTTTGATAAATGTTTAATAGATTATCGATGATTATTTAGAATAAATGATCAGCACTTCTACTGTGTAAATGTCAATGGAACAACAAGAATTGTTCCAAGAAGTTCAATTTGTTTGAAAAAGTCTAATCTTGATCAACTGCAATTGGTTGATATCAAAGATCAAGATATTAAAAAGGTAAGTTTAATTATTTTAGAAACGTTTTATCAGTTTTTATTTACAATAATTTTTCCACTCATTTTCCAAATAAAATTTCTTCTTTAGACCTCCTTTTCAAAAGAATCTCCTCCTGCAAAAATTAAACCTGTCTAAGAGATTTTTTTCTCTTGTTCACTAATTACAAACTCATTTTTACAAGAGTTTTCAAAAAAATTCCAGAGAGAAATTTTGAATATTTTTATAATAAATTGCAAAAAAAAAAATGTTAATGTAATCTTAATAAATATTCAGGACTCTTTTGGTTCAAGAAAACTGAAGCTGAGTAACTGTAGATGTGGAATTAAGTATTAAAAATATCTTTTGAGTCTTGGTTTGGACTTATTTGAAATATTATTCATTAAGGATATCAGTTTCTTTACTAGTGCCAGATTACTCTGATTGTAAAATAGATAATTATGTTAATTATGTATAAACACAGTAATCTGATTCTATAATGGTTATACATAATTGTTAATTATGTATAATTTCTTTCAATTTAATATAGTTAATATTTATAATTATCAATGCATTTAGTTGAAAACTTTTTTCAATTAAATGCATCAATTCATTTAGTTGAAAAAAGTATCATTGCATTTAGTTGAAAAAGTATCAATGCATTTAGTTGAAAAAATAATAGAGAGGGCAAAAAATGCTGAAAAAGTAGTTATTTTAAATCAAATGTCAAAAAAACTAAAAATATAGTGCAAACATCTTTTTATTCTGGAATTACAATGCAAACAAGAAAGTGATATTCTTTAATTCCTGTATCTAATTATTTTCCTAACTTAAGTTTTGTTGGTATACTTGAATTCCTATTTTTAGTTATATTGCCATACATGGGTTCTTATTTTTAGTTCTATTGATAGACTTGGACTCTTTATTTGTTCACATTTTGTTTTTGTTAATTATTTTTTTTATTTTAATTACAACTGTGTTTAAATATTGTAAATATTTTTTTGAATAAAAATTCAAAATAAGCAGCAAAAAATAAAGTTAACAATTGCTCAGATGTTTACTCCAAAGTATTTTATATATATATTGCTAAATTTTATTCAAGGTGTTAAAGAAAGGTTTTAAAAGAAAACGCCACACCGAAATACCATTTTCTTCAAGTAGCAGCTACGAAGATGCTGAGCCAAAAAAACGCAATAGAGTTAGTGACATTAAACTTTCTGATAAAGCTCGACTTCTTTTTAAAGATTTGTTATTTTTGATAATTGGTAATTAAATTAGTGATTTCAATAAAATTTGATCAATAAAATTGTGGTATTAATAAAATGATATGTATTAAATAATGTGTAATATATATATATATATATATATATATATATATATATATATATATATATATATATATATATATATATATATATATATATATCAGGGGCTATTCTAGAGCTTTTTTGACCGCGTTGATTGAATTTGGGTAAGATTTGGGCGCAATGTTCAGATGTTTTGTTTTGTTTTTTTTTCGCAAAAAAATGTCGAACACAAAATATTGCTTTTAAATATCGAGTGTCCAGCAAAATTTTGTCAAAAAGAAAATTTTGAATTATCTTTTGTAAATGCTAAGTACCATTAAATTTATAACAAGAGTTCAAAATTGTCTTTTGTTAGATACAAAACAACAAACAGAAGAAAATGGGTTGGATAAAGATTTGATTTCTAAACTTATTACATCAAATAATGGAGAAATTATCTCCACTATTCATAGCAGAGAATTTCACAAAGCTAAAAATGTACTCTGCATAAGTGATGGTCCATCCAATTCACACATAGTAAGTTTTTCAGTTTTTTTTATGTGACCTAGTTAAATTAAGTGTATGTGTCACATTTTTGAAAGGGAAATAAGGAAACATGTATGTATGCAAGAATTTTTTTTTTTTAGTTTTTATTATTTATTTTTATAGTTGTGTTTTTAATAGACATAATAAGTATAAAAACACAATTGATGTTTTGCATTATTTAACTTTCCCACTTTCTTCATTACCAATGCTCCCTCTATTGTTATTGAAACGACATTGTCTGCATTTATTAACTGACATTAGTCCGTGAATTCTAGCAAGTCTGAGAGTCCAAAAGTTTATTTTTATGAAATCTTAGTCTTGCTATTGATAATTGTTGTTTTAAAAATGTAAACGTCAGAGACATTTACATTCTTATAACAACAATTTTTTCAGGTGTCCACTTATCTAATGTGATACTAAATCCTTTACCTTGATAAGATTGTGTTTTTAGTTAATTTTTTTTTGTGCATATTTTCTCTGCATACTCATTCACAATTTTAATCATAAATTTTTTGCTTTGATCTGACTTCTAATCTCTACATGTATAAAATAATTTCATGATGAATTTTTATCTATAAGTCTAGTTTTTTATTAAATGGATAATCGTACCGGTAATGACCAACTTAATTACTGATAATAAAGTTTTGCATTTTGATATGATTTACCATTAAACTGGTAATGCAATCCCTAGTATGGATTGTCAATGGATTGTCAATTCTTATGCACAAATAACCTTAGGGATTTAATCAAAAATATTTTTGCCTTATTTATTAAACCATCAGTAATTCAAAGCTGCAAATAAGGTGATTTGTAATAGTTGGATTTCTTTCAAAAAAAGAGAACTTTTAACCTAGAAAAATTATTAATTTTGGTTTTGTAACTCAAGTCTTAGTGGTTTTAGCTCTAAATAATGTCTAAATTTTTGTAGAAAAAAAAAAAAAGGGTTTTGTTATAAACAAATGTAAATATTCAGGCTCAATAGTTTTTCATTGGGTTATAAAAAATGAATTTACAAAATCAGTTAAACAAATCAAAAGAAATCAAATAAAGAGCGTGAATTGGAGCAATTTATATTTATTAGAATATATTTTGATTATTCAAGTTTTTAAAATGGTGGCTTTTATCGGGACACTTTTTTCAAAAACAGAAAAAAAGAAGACAATATAAAAATTAATTTTTTTTTTTGGTAATGAATGCCCTTCATTTTTAGATGACAGTTTCCAAAACATATTAATTAGTCATTGAGTAGTTTTCATTGATTGATAGGTTTAGGTTTTAAGCAGAGAGTATGTTTTCGGACATGTTGGATTCTAAGAAAACAATGAAATATTTTAAATATTTTTTTAAAAGCATATTAATCTTAAGCAGAATGTGTAGTATCCTACACATAGATTCATAAATATATTTTTTTTTAGATTTAATTTTTTAAAAAGTTTGTTTATAACAATACTTTCAATTGGAATTAACTTTTTCTTTTTTTTTTTAATTAAAAAAAAAAAAGAAAAAGTTAATTTTTGATATATCAAGGTGTGTTTTTATTAAAGGGATCCCTAAGTGCTATAAAGATATGATCTCATATGATAGAGCATTAAAAAAAAAAATGTTTGATGTATATTATTTTTTCTAAAACGTAATAATAAACACATTAGCAAATTTAATTTTCAAAAAAAAGCTTTTCTTCGATTAAAAAAAATGTGTCTTGTCCAAAGTTTATTGACTCTATTGCCTCAAAAAACTAACGCTTGTACGTCAAATTAAACAAGTAGACAAAATGTCATTATTGCAAACTATTAGTTGGTAATTAAATTTAAAAGTAAAGTCGTTTTTTTTCAACTAACACATAATTACTTACAAGAATAAGTTTTGTAGCATTTTGGGAAAATATATTTGTATATTAAAATTTTTTTTATAGTTTTTATTTATATATTTGTGTTATTAAGGGCAATTCCACGGCCAAAAATGAATAGAAGTCAAATTTTAAACTCTTTTTAGTCAGTTAAAAACAAATGAATATTGACTTAGATACATGAAAGTTTATTTAAAATATTTCCTTAGTAGAAAAATAAATTTATTTCAGTAATTTTTATGGTTTCAAAAGTGACGGTTACTCTCATTTTTGCTTTATAAAAAAAATAATTATTGTAAAATGTTTTAGTTAAATGACTAATAAAAGTTTAAATATAATTAAGTTTTTCATTTAAATGGTTGATGTTTTTATTCAATTTTTCTATTTCAAGTTTTCCAATAAAAGATGAAACAAAAAAATTTGGTTTAATAAATCAAATTATACTTCATGTTTAAAATAAGGCTTAAAAACGTTAAAGTAAAAAAATTGCTGGTTTTTATACTGTTTGAAAAAAAAAACTAATAAAAAAGAATTATAATATATTAATTAATAATTATTAGAATTAATATATTAATTAATAATTATTAGAATTAATAATAATAACAATTAATTCTTTTTTATTAGTTTTTTTTTTCAAACGGTATAAAAATGCAAATAAAAGTCAGTAATTTTTTTGCTCTAACATTTCTAAGCCTTATTTTAAACATGAAGTTTTGATAAACAAAGATAAAAACCAACTTTTCAACTTTTCGCTTTAACGACCTTGTAAAAATTTTCCACGCAGAGATTTAAAGTAATTTAAATTCAAAAATGTTTTATGTTGAAAGAAAATCTTGGCGCAAAAGCCTACTTAAATGATGAAAATTTTGATAAAAGTATAGCAGCACTTGGTGAAGATTGGAGGATAGGAAGTGACCATAACTGCTTTTTATATGATTATGGAGGAAGTGCAAGCTCTGTAAATTCTGCCAAGACAAATCAAATCAAAGAAGATCCATTTCGAATGAAGGTTAGATAAATATAAGAAAATAAAAGTTTTACATTGATAACTCATAACAGGAGCATACTGATATTAGGATTGTCCTCAATCTAATAACTACATCTACTGACACTCCCGTTATATCAGCGAAAGTTTCAGCATTTTCAAATGCCCTTCTAGCAGAGTTTCCATCGTTAGTGTTGCCAAAACCCTGTTTAGGCATATCAACTATAAGACTTAGCTCCTCTCTAAACCTCAGACATAACCTCAAATATTATTAGAGTTTTCTTTAGATTTAACATTTTAGGTTTGTCAATACTTTCATAGTACAGACCTTCCAGTCTACAAACCTCACGTAGAAGAGCTTCGAGTAAATTATCATAATTAATTCCTAACTCTTAAGTTATAGGGATTAAATGTATTCTTTTCATGTTTAATGTAAGCAATGAAGTATTGTTAGTTATTTTACATGCAAGTTTGAATTTTAAAATATCCACTATAACATCAAATATTGCATATTTTGGTTTTGAGGTTTGATAATTAGCACCATCTGCTTGAGCATGAGTTTTTTTTAGTAATAGGAACTAAATGTATTATTTGTGTGATGAATGCAAGCAACGAATTATTGCTCGCTACTTTATGCGCAAGTTATAATTAAATAAAATCATCTATTCATCTATCTATTCAGAATAATAAATTTTGTGTGACGTTCTTTATGATAAAAACATTACTTTTAAGAATTGCTAAAAAAAATGCTAGAAAAAAAGTAATTTATCAACCAAAAAAAAACAAGTCGCGAAAAGATTTTTTTTAAGAAAAAACTAATCACAAAAGTGTGTGTAGCAATCGCGATCGCGATATGCATAATACGAGCCCTGTAAGACTTTTTTATAAGTTCTAAACTATTTAAAACTATTACTTAATAACTTTTTTTTAACGACGTCTTTCAACCGAATGCTATTATACTGTTTTTGCAAAACTAATTAAAAAAACTTGATTAAAACTATTTAATCACGACTTTTTTTTACTTGAAAATCGAAGTAGATATTCTAAAGTTGTTATGACGTAGTAACGTGATTTTTAACGACTAACAATCGAGTTTCAATGGTGAAAAAATAAAATCAAAATGGAGTTGTTTTTTAGTGATTTCGGCAATTGCTTTTTGTTAGCATGCTTTTATTATTACAATTTAGTGAAAAAGAAAAAAAACTTACATATTTTTTTGTTATGCTCTTTCATATGAGATCATATGTTAGGAGCACTTAGGGATCCCTTTAATCTCAATGCTGAGATTTTGTCATTTTTTAAATTTAACCAAAAGTTTGTTTGCATTTTTCCCTTTTAAGTATGTGACATAATACTGTATCACTTCACTTGTTTTTTGTTTCAATTGTTTAAGTTTTTTATGTTATTATATAAAATTTTATTTGAATATTTTTCTTTTTAAAATTTATAGTTTTTATTATATTATCGTTTTTATTGTTTTATATTTTATTTTTTAGTTTCTTTATTGTGTTGTAGTTGGAATTCCAATTCTTCACCATGATTGGCTCATTAATAGTATAAAATTAAATACTTGCCAAGGTTACCATGATTATTTAGTTCCTGCTGGGTTAAATATTCATGGCGAAATTGTGTCACAAATTCATGGCAAAAGGGAGCCATATAATTGTTTAAATCCACTTAGGGTGAGTTTGTTTTCAACTTTTAATGTTTATAAAAATTGTTTATTTTGATCCATAAATTACATTTTAGTTTTCTTTAAATCTTCTCATAGCAGATATAATGGTGCAACAACAGTTTAAATGTTAAAAAATTTTACTATGTTAAAAACTGTTATAATGTTGTAAGCCATGTTACTATACATCATAGGAGTTTAAAAATTTATATTTATTATTTAAATTGCTTTGATATTGTTTTTGAGGTTATTGGATTTATTTGCCTTTAGTCATTTGAATTATTATCTTTTTTGTAATTTTTTTTGTTATACGCATGCTATCGAAGCTAGCAGTGTTACTATTGGTATGTTATGGTGTGTTAGTATTCAAAAGTATTCAAAATTTTTTGACTGTTTTTTACTCTTGAATTAATCAAAAGTTGCAAGAAGAACATTAAGAGAGGATTAAAGTTTTGAAAATTAAATTTAATCCAATGTAATGCATTAAAGAAAAAAGTGGAAGATTTAGAAAAAACTTCGATAATATCAGAAGGAATTCTAGTAAAAACTTTCAGTAGCCTTTTTAAATTGACAAATCTAATGTTCCTGCCGTTGATGTTATCAGTGCAATGACAGTTGAGCAAAATGATAAAAAACCTAAAGAATATAATATTTTGGTTTTCGGCAGAATCAAACAAACTGGAAATGACTGAAAAAGATTTGGATGATAAAGGAGCTGTTTTAAAAATATTTGAAGAGATAAGAGTCAATAACTTTTAAATTGCTAGGATTTATTGCTTTAAAAAAAATAAAAATAGTAAAAATCTTAGCCCATTATTAGTTGAGGTGCATTGCGTTGAAGTAATGAAAACAGCAAAGTGATTGAGAAAAAATAATAACTTTAAAAATATCTATACATGCTTGGCCGGAATGCGGGTGCGATCGCACTCGACAATTGACCACGGAAATAATATTTAGTTGCGTAAAACAGGCCGGATTTTATAGTCGTTTTGAGAACATTTCAAAAACAAACAAAAAAGCGCAACAAGATTAACTGGACCGTTGAGAGACAGTTAAAAAAAGAAAACAGCTTTTAACACAAAAAAACTTTAAGCAAAAAAATACGATTAGAGCAAATATTTTTTAAACGTCGTTCTTTTATTTTTTTTTTATAAAATTAGGCGACATTTTTTATATAAAGTAACAACTTACTATTAATGATTGTTTAATAAGGAAACAAATGCTCTTTAATTTATCAACGAGTATGTAATTTTTATTTATATACTAATATATGTCTTATTTCCAGTGCTGGATTGAGAAGGGGGGGGGGGAGGGGGATGGGGTAGAAGGGACTCACAATGTTAGAAGGGACTTCACAATGTTTAATTTTTAGTAATTTTTACGCTGTGGCACATAATAAATGCCACTAAAATAATGCAGCCCGCGGCCCTGAAAAGTCCAACAAGATTCAACCAGTAAAACTAACGCTAGATGATTTATTTATAAATAAAAAGGTTTTTTTAATAACTGTTTTATGCTTCGCGTAGTTTGAAAACACATTTGAAACAATTCTTTTTAGTAAGATGAACAAATGAAATAATTAAACCATTGAGTTACTGTAGAAATTCAATTAACTAGATAGAAATTAACTAAAAATGTTAAATTCTTTAGTGAGGAGGAAGCGGAACAGCTTCACATTACTGCTGATAATGTTTAGTGAGTGGGCTTTATAATTTTAATTAGTAATTAAAACAGAAAAGAGTTAAGTATAACGAGTTTGTAAGGATGGCTGAAGCAAAAATAATTGAAGTTAGTTAACCAATTTCTAAGAACTTAAAAACTTTTTTTTCTAAGAACTTTAAAACATAAATTTAAAACATTTATTTTTGCAAACAATTAATGTTAGTTTAAAACATTTATAGCTTTGTAAATGTATTGTTAAAACAATTTATGCTAGAAATCTCGACGAAAACATCTAGAACTCTAGAACATTCGGTTAGTATTTTTTGAATACTCTAGAAATTTCCGCTAGTATTTTTTGAACCAATAGAATTATTTGTTAGTAGATTTGGCGGGTTTTTTGTGTTGGCGAATATTTTTTTTTTTTTTTTTTTCCCGCACAAAGTTTGAGAACATTTGAGTTTATGTATGTTTCCGTGTAAGTCCGTAATACAAAATATTCTAAGATTTACGATAACTTAATAATTATTCTGCAGACAAACAAGGAAACATATGTGAACTTGAATGTTCTCAAAACGACTAAAAAATCTGGCCGGTTTTTCGCAACTAAATATTATTTCCGTGGTCAGTTATCGAGTGCAATCGCACCCGCTTTCCAACCAAGCCTGTCTATATGTTAACTATGATTTAACACCAACTCAAAAACTTAAAACAATTATTGAATGAACATAATAACTTAGATAAAAAAATCATAAAAATATATAGATATGGGATTTGGAATAACAACATCAAGTTTACAACAATCAAATCAGTCTAATTATCATAACACTATGGATTTAAAAGAATTTATTAAATTTATGTATTAAGTTATTATCTATTAAATTTATGTATGATTATTTGTTAAATGTGTCTGTTTAAAGTTTAGAAAAAAGATGTTTAAGAGCAAAATAATACTACAAGAAATAATTAAAAAGATTGAACCAGACATTAATTCTAAATTAAACTGTTTTTGTATTAATGCTATGTCCTTAAATAATAAAATTGCGTCAAACTATCGCACTAAATTACAGGCATATTATCTAGATTTAATCATTATTACTGAAACTTTGTTAAATGATCTTTCTGATACATCTATAGAAAATTATGTATGATAATGTTGTGATCGGGAAAATGGAAAAAAGGGTGGAGGGGTTACCATTTATGTAAAAAATCAATTAAAATAGTATGAAGTAACCATACCAGCTATACTTGTACAAGTACTAAACATGTTTGGGTTTGTCTAAATTTTGGAATTGGAAAAAATTTTAGTTTGTTATAATTACAAGCCACCAAATTCAAATAAAGTTACTAATAATAATAAAAAAAAATTTTTATAATAGTTCACCAAGCTTACAAAAGCCACTTCAGTCGAGCAGGCACTTTAATTGTGGTTACAAACCTCTCTATAACTTCAAAACATGAATCTTAGCAAACAAGAACCCTGCAGGGAGAGACAAGTTAAGTGGCACATGGTAGGATTGAACTTAGAACTACTACCTGGTCATGGTGGGATTGAACTTAGAACTTTTTGCTTATGAGATGAGCATTCTAATACTACACTACTTTAGCATATGTTTATAATTATAATAATTATAATAATATTATTTGAAATGTTAGTAGATTAATTGAAAAAAAAGTTTTCACAGATCTTTTAATTCCAGGTGATTTTATTTACAGCACAATTAAGGTGTTATTCAGCCATTATTTTAGTGAAAAATAAAAAAAAATTTTGAAAAAATGTTATTTAGACAATTGAACCTTGTAGAATTCGATAGTAAATATTTTTTTTCAAAATTAATTTTAGGATATCAATAATATTCTTCTCAAGCACAGGATTTGTCTGAGTAGTGTACATGATTATTAATTTTAAAATTAATTCTTCTCAATTTTTGTTTTTTTATGAGTAGCTGTAGGAAAACAATGATATCTCAATAAAAAAAACATTTTAGCTTCAAATTTTCAGGATATGTTTATTTTTAATGTTTTTAGTGCTTGAACCTAAAATGAAATTTAAAAAATTAAACTTAACCTACAATTACCATATCAAATTGGTGTTTTATTGCTAAAAATAGTTTTTTATACTCCTAAATCTGCCATTTTTGATTGTTTGAATTTTTTTTTTTTAATTTTTGGTTCAGGCACAATATAATAGCGTTTTGCAAAATTTCAACATTTAATATTGATGTAATCTTAATTAACTTTTTTTCTTTCAATAACAACACTAAAAAAATTTTACTTTGGTCTTTCATGCCTTAAAGTAGTTTTTTTTTTTTTTTACTTTTTGTAATGAATGAAAAAAAAATTGTTTAAACAATTCTTTAAATAAAGAAGTTTTTTATTTTTTTAAAAAAACATCAATTTTTCAAAATTATTCAGTGCTCAAGATCGCGGATGATCGCAGCTACTCTTCTCAGAGTAGTAAGTAGACACAATAGACTAAAAAATATCAAAATATGGAAAAGATACAAATTGGAACACTTTTTTAATTCTTCATCAAAGTTAAAATTTAGTATTTTTGTGATGAAATTTTCACTTTCAATGGTAAAAATTTTAGTACCAACTTTTTAAATAAATTTTTTTGTTTTAATGTCAGGTCATGTTTATCCTGCTACTGATAACATGTAAACCAGTACAATCTGCTTCATGTCCTGCTGCCTTGTAGCATATGCCTTTTTAGGCAAAGACTAGGAGATGCAAACTCCGACATAAAACACCTCCTGTCTTGGGGCTCTTGGTTGAGTAAAGGCTAGAGATGGTGTCTCGATAAAAATACTCATCTTGGGCAGATGTTAAATGCATCCAGCTGCTATCTTGTAGAAGGCCTCCTAGGCAAAGACTTATAAGGTAAACAGATTCTATCTGTTGACCAGCCTTGCACCCCTTCTTCATCTATTAGACTGGCGCAGATGTATTTTTAATACATTGTTTCCAGTTTAGGATGTTGAATGCTGGATCTTCTTGACTCGATTCATGGGTTTTGCATTGTGTCTCTGTTTTTATGACTAGGCAACTCATTCTATTATCTCCAAATGAGGGTACAGCTCTAAAACTCAGTTTTATGGTTCTGAGGCCGGCTGGTAGTCAGGTTTCCCGAACTCTGTGGTAGCTCTCAGAGAGGCTGATTCCATCAACAGCTGAAAAATATCAGAGTACTAACAGTGCCATGTTGCGCATGGATGGTTTCCCTGTTTGTACTTTTGGTGTGCATTGCCAAGGCCACATTGGAGCCCTTTTGTTACGGCTTAGGGTTTATTAGTGGAAATAAGGCAATTGCTTGAGCTATAAAACAGTGTACTGAGTACTATCTATGTT